AATATAAAAAAATTATAACTATTAATTAGATTTTACAAATTTTTCATTAGAGATAACTAAAAATTTTATTTTTTGATGTATCTACATTTTTGCACCAGACCATATTATATTAATATCTATTAGAAAATCTTGATCTCACGTGATTTTTATAATTTTGAAAATTTCACTAGGTTGTTAATTTTTAATCCCAGATGTATACAGATTATTGGATACAAGTTTTTACATATTTATTTTTGATTCAATTCCAGTTTATTAAAGATATATACAGATTATATTACAGGTTTATACAGGTTGTTACAGATTACGAGGGATATTATATTACAGGTTTTTACATACAACAATTACAAATTACAGGTGATTACAGAGGTTTACTGAATCATACGATTATTGTCAAACGGAGTACAGTTTAAGGCTTTTGGCTAGAGAAAGTATTATTTCAAAATTAAGATTTTATTATTAATAAACCCATGAAACATAATTCTCACTGAACCCACAATATTTCGCATAAAAATTCACCTACCGTCATATTGAAACGAAATTCACAGATATTGGCACAGGCATTAGAAACCCCCATAATTAATTCTAAAGTTTTAAACTCTCCCAAATCTATTCATGCAAGATAAAATTTGTACAACTGTAACACTATCGCTACGCATTGGGTGAAATGTAGTGCCTATTACTATACACAAATCATTATCTGGTGGCACACCTTATTAAAAAAGCAATTTTTATAATCAATATTCCTGATACAGTCTATTTATAATTTTATTTCATCCTTGTCGTTATAATATTCCTATCACATGAATCCTATTACATGTATAATGATTTTTTCCTTATTTCCTCCTATTCAAACTTTCTGCCGATTTTGTTCGAGGAGTACGAAAAAGTCAGAGAAAGTTCTTTAGAAATAAAAAACTCATGGATACGCCATTACATGACATGAAGACACGCGCACTTAACTACATGTACATAATATGGTGAAATGTAAATGAACAATTAGTTATCGTTCCTGACAGAATTATCCGGAATTTTTATTTAGTGGAACAAAAAGTAACTATTTTTGTCAACCAAAACAAGATTAATTTTTAGATAATAGCCTGTTGGCAAGAACAAGTGATCGATTGACCCGCGAACTCTCCTGATTTTAAATCCGATTGAGGATCTATGGGTTATTCTCAAGAAATAAATAAATTAGAGGAAAAAAACACTTGCCATAACCGATTTTCAAGACATAATTCGAAGTGAGTGGGCAAAATTTATTCTTCATGTAGTCAGATCAAATTAATAAGATCAGGTTGCACTATAGAATAATAAAATCCGAAATGTATATTCCTTATATTGTAAATTATAACGTGAACGATACAAGCCTGCAGTCTATTTATAATTTTTTTTCCATTGTTAAAATATTTCTTGGCGCTATCATAATGGTTATCTTTTAACATAATCGCTTTATCATATATTTGTAAACCTTCGAATCAGATGCGTCTCTATTGGTTAAGCATAAGCAGCTTGAATTTTGTATTAGATGAAATCATTATAAAATCGTATTAAAAAATGTTTCTGTACTTCTTGTCCCTGTGATTATTCGATATTACATATTTTAGGATCTCTTGCTTATGTTTTTAATCTTTCTTTTTTGAATCAACAAATGAAAATAATATAATTGCCAATTTTAAAACGTGAAATCTGATCTTTTAGCTTTTTACTTTTTTTAAGGCCCAAAAAAAGTGGTTGAATAATCAATATTCAAGCAACACTTCTATTAGATTCAAGCCTAAATATCAATATCACAATTTATTTTGCTAGGATAAACCTATAATAAAGCATTGTTTATTTCTCAAAATTCTTTCAACGAATTAAATATATCAGTATAGAAAAAAATATAGCAACGGAATAATTCTTCCTAAACATAGTACAATTTATGCCGAATGGCTTATCATCGTGTTCGAGACTGCGAACCAAAGGAATATTCAAATAACGTACAATCACCGTATTCTCCATCACCAAGCACAACTTCTCATGGTTCATCAAGTCTGCAACCTCTACAAAATTCTCACGGCCAGCTCGATCAACCTAGCATTGATCGACAAATCGAACCGCAAGACTCTCATGTGTCAAATGATCCGCCACTTCCACAAGGACAGTTTTCACGTCCGGAATTACAAAGTTCTTATAGCTCACGTGCACAATTCAGACCGCAAACACCTATACAAAAACCACAATATCGTACTTCACAAGTTTCCTATTGTAATAATCATGATTATTATGATGATTATAATTCTAGTCCACGCGATTCGATTGCAAATAACGATAGTCCTGATTTACTTGAAGACCAGGACTATATGAATTTGTTAAATTGCTACGTGTACGATAGTGAAAAGGAAAACGACACAGAGAGATCAAATACTGAGACAGTATATCCATTTCCCCAATATCACAATGATGGTAAGGTTTGTTCCTAACACAAATATTCAGCTATTTATTGTTTTATGAAGTTTCATTAAAAGGTTCCCGTCATCAACGTCCATCTTCTTTTACCCCGATAAATGATAGATGATAATAATAGAAAGGGTAAAGATCGTAATAACCAAGTCTCGGATCCAGATTCCTTTGTCTACGGTATTGGATTAGATTATGAAAGTCGTTATTATGTGCCTTCACGCGAGTATTTGCAACATTCATCGAGTAAAAAGAAACAATCTAGCTCTTCAACATGCACTTCATCTATGCTCAGCCATGATGACAATAATTATAATTTGGAATTTTCACATGCACCTAACGGTAATACAGTTGGTACCTCGTGGAATTCAAATAATCCTCAAGTTCCAGTGCCAAAGGAAGAAATAGAGGATATTTTCACTGAACTAACCGACAAGTTTGGTTTCCAGAAACAGAGTATGCGCAATATTTTTGATCTTCTCATGTGCATGTTAGATTCTCGAGCTTCTCGGATGTCACCTTCTCAGGCTTTACTGACACTTCATGCTGATTATATTGGTGGAGAGCATGCTAATTATCGCAAGTGGTATTTTGCAACTCATATGGACTTGGATGATGCTATTGTTGATGAAAGTAATCCAAATGATCCACTAAGCCGGGATAATGAGGATCTTGACGAACAATGGAATCAGCGGATGGATCAAATGTCTCATCATGATCGCATACGTCAACTCGCTTTGTGGCTTTTGTTATGGGGTGAAGCTGCGCAAATTCGTTTTATTAGCGAATGTTTGTGCTTTATATTTAAGCTTGCTGATGATTACACAAAAAGTACCGAATACAAATCAACGGTACAGCCAGTTCCTGAAGGGGAATATCTACGAAACATCGTAACACCATTCTATCGATACATTCGTGATCAAGGATATAAAGTAGTTGATGGCAGTTTCGTAAAAAGGGAGAAAGATCACGCTGAAACAATAGGCTATGACGATATCAATGAATTATTTTGGTGCCCTGAAAGCATTGATCGTATAGTCTTAAAAGACAAGTCATCACGTCTCATGGCATTACACAAAAATCAACGTTATCGAATGCTCGGTCAAGTAGATTGGAATCACGCTTTTGAAAAAACATACAAAGAAAAACGTACATGGTTTCATCTCGCTGTTAATTTTACTCGCATATGGATCGTCCATGTTGCAGTCTTTTGGTATTACACCGCGTACAATGTTTCATTCCTATATACGGATTCAGAAAATTCGGAACCAGCGCTTCAATTGTCTGTTGTGGCTCTCGGTGGATCAGTATCAACTTTGTTCATGATCGTTGGATGTATTTGTGAATTCTTCTTCATTCCCCTGAACAAACATAATCTATCGATGTTAATAAAACGGTTTATTCTTCTAATCACAATCTTGATTGTCAACACTGGTCCTACATACTATATCTACGTGAGAGCACGTACCGGTCAAATATCTTTAGTTATCGGAATCACTCAATTCATTATCTCGTTATTAACCACACTCTCTTTTGTTATAACACCAAGCGCAAAATTATTTGGCGGCTTATCAAAAGGCTCACAAAAATATCGAGTTTTTAATACATTTACTGCCAATTACCCCACACTTAATAACAAAAATCGGGCTATCTCAATTGGTCTATGGTGTTGTATCTTTGGATGCAAGTTTATAGAATCTTACTACTTCTTGTCGCTTTCTTTCAAAGATCCTCTTAAGGCAATGGTCGACAGTATGGCAGTTGATTGTGGTGATAAACTTGTTCACAAGATTATTTGTTTTTGCTTCCCCATAATATCCATTATGTTTATGTTTATTGTGGACCTTATTCTTTTTTTCTTGGATACGTATTTGTGGTATGTTATCTGGCATACCATTTTTTCTGTGGTTCGTTCACTCTATATTGGTATATCTATCTGGACTCCTTGGAAAAATATCTATTCCATGTTGCCTAAGAGAATTTATGCAAAGATTTTGGCTGTTACAAACATAGAGGTCAAACCAAAGATCCTTGTGTCACAAATTTGGAACGCAATCATTATATCCATGTATCGGGAACATTTTTTGTCCGTCGAAAATGTGGAAAAATTATTATATCGTAAACGTTATTTGTCCACCGAAAATGTGCAAAAGCTATTGTACCAACAGGTATGATTCTATATATTTTAATATAAAAAAGATGAAATTTGTTTAACTAATTCTTCAATACTTATGATGTAACGCGATCAGGGTCCTCTTGATTATGGGAAGTTCACGTTAAAGCCACCCACATTCTTCGTAGCACATAATTCGGATGATTTCTTCTCACAGATGGGTGAAGCAGAACGTCGTATATCATTCTTCTCGCAAAGTTTATCAACTCCAATACCAGATCCAATACCAGTTCAAAATATGCCATCCTTTACTGTTTTGACTCCTCACTATTCGGAAAAAATTCTTCTTTCTCTTCGAGAGATCATTCGTGAAAAGAATGAAAGCACTAGAGTTACCTTGCTGGAATACCTTAAACAGTTGCATCCAATCGAATGGGACAACTTTGTCAAAGATAGTAAAACTCTGTTTGAAAAAAATAATGCATCAGTGACAAATCAATTTGCAGAAGACCCATTGAAAAAGGCCAAGGACGAGAAACTAAAAGATTTGGCCTTCTATTCCGTGGGTTTCAAGTCTTCAGCTCCGGAATATACTATGCGTACACGTATATGGGCGTCACTTCGATCTCAAACGCTGTACCGTACGGTTTCCGGGTTCATGAACTATTCAAAAGCAATCAGGCTTCTGTATCATGTGGAAAATCCAGAGGTTACAACCAATTTTGCCAATAATCCAGAGAAATTTAGGGAAGAGATCGATTCTATGATCCATAGAAAATTTAAATTTGTGGTATCCATGCAACGATATAACAATTTCACCGACGAAGAACGAGAAAATGCAGAGCTCTTGTTGCAAACCTACCCTGATCTTCAGATTGCTTATCTAGATGAACTCCCGCCCGAGAATGAAGAGGAAGAACCAAGGATATACTCCGTGTTAATCGATGGTCATTGTGAACTTTTGCCTAATGGAAAGAGAAAACCAAAATACCGTATCCAACTTCCCGGTAACCCAATTCTTGGTGATGGTAAATCCGACAATCAAAATCATGCCATCATCTTTTGCCGCGGTGAATATCTGCAATTAGTGGATGCCAATCAAGATAACTACCTCGAGGAGTGTCTCAAAATTCGCAGCATACTTAGAGAATTTGAACAATATGAGATGCCAGCAACATCACCATACTCACCAGTTGCCGAATCATCTAAAAAGGAACCCGTTGCAATTGTTGGTGCGCGAGAATATATTTTTTCCGAGAATTACGGTGTCCTTGGTGATGTTGCTGCTGCAAAAGAGCAAACTTTTGGTACACTGACTCAAAGGATTATGGCCCAAATAGGCGGTAGATTGCATTACGGACATCCCGATTTCCTGAATACCATATTTATGACTACTCGTGGTGGTAAGCGTCACATACGTTCTTGTCTTCATCATACATGTCATTAATTCAAAATTTATTAAAGGTATATCAAAAGCACAAAAAGGTTTGCATCTTAATGAGGACATTTATGCCGGTATAAATGCGTTTAATCGTGGTGGACGCATCAAATATGCAGAATACTATCAATGTGGCAAAGGTCGCGACCTTGGATTCGGTTCCATTCTTCGCTTTACCACAAAAATCGGAACCGGTATGGGTGAGCAAATGCTCTCTCGCGAATACTATTACCTTGGAACGCAGCTTCCTTTGGATCGCTTCTTAACCTTTTATTATGCTCATCCTGGATTTCACATAAATAATATCTTTATTATGTTGTCGGTGCAACTGTTCGTGTTTAGTATGATATTTATCGGCGCGATGGCATCTGTCTTGACGTTGTGCGATTACAACCCCAATCCAACGGCTGAACTCAGTCCTTCAGGATGTCACAACCTTATTCCCGTGTATTATTGGATTAAACGTTCAATTATCTCCATCGTTGTTGTATTCCTTGTAGCATTCTTGCCATTATTCCTTCAAGAACTAGCCGAGAGAGGTTTATTACGCAGTATTATCCGTCTCGGAAAACATTTAATATCACTTTCTCCTTTCTTTGAAGTCTTTATTACTCAGATTTATACTCACAGTATCACAGCAAATCTTAGTTTTGGCGGTGCTCGTTATATTGACACCGGTCGTGGATTTGCCACCGCTCGTATCCCATTCTCAACATTGTATTCCACATTTTCTTATCCGAGTATTTATTCTGGCATGAGGATCATTCTTATATTGCTTTTTGTAACTATGGCCATACGACTACCGCACCTGGGTTACTTTTGGTTAACAGCTATTGCCTTGTCACTATCCCCATTCCTATTCAATCCGCATCAGTTCTGTTTCACGGATTTCATCATTGATTACCGGGAATTCTTGAGATGGATGTCTCGAGGGAATTCAAAAACACACGATCGTTCTTGGATCTCCTTCTGTCGTACGTCTAGGACAATGATTACTGGTTATAAACGCAAACAATCTGGTCATCCATCAGAGAAATCAATTCATGATATTTCTCGTCCAAGTTTCGTTGTGATTTTTACCACGGAAATCCTTTTACCACTTATATCAGCGGCACTCTGCGTTTTAGCGTATGCGTTTGTTAAAACTTACGACCCACAAAATCCTGCGAATGGTCTTAATGCAATCATTTATGTTTGCGCTATAGCTGTCTTGCCAATTATATTAAACGCGTCTATGCTAGCGTGTCTTTTCTTTATCTCACTCTGCACTGGTCCATTGGTAAATTGTTGTTTCTCCAAGTTTGGATCCATGATTGCTGCAATTGCACATGCCTGGTCAGTTCTTAATCTGATTGGATCCTTCGAACTTTTGTGTTTTATCAATGTATGGAACTTTTCTCATGCCATTCTAGGTGTGATAACATTGGTTGCAATTCAGCGAGTGATTTTCAAAGTATTGACCGTATTATTCCTGACACGTGAATTTAAGCATGACGAAACAAATAGAGCTTGGTGGACGGGAAAGTGGTACGGTCGTGGATTAGGTGGATCATCATTCACACAACCTTTTCGAGAATATATCTGTAAAATAGTTGAGATGTCACTTTTCGCAACCGACTTTATACTCGGTCATATTATTCTATTCATATTGGCACCTATATGCTTGATACCTTGGATTGATAGGTGTCATTCTATCATGTTGTTTTGGTTGAGTACAAGCAAACGAATTAGGGCACCAATATTTTCGCAGAAACAAAAACGCAGGAGATCATGTATGATATGGACACATGGACTTTTGTTTTTAATTATGTATCTTATATTTATAGGGTTGATTATTGGACCTATAATTGTTGGAACCAGGCTTAAATTTAATAAATTTAACATGCCAATATTAGGGACCCTAACTGCTTAACTCAAGTCGACAGATTCTAAAAAAAGGTCGACTTTTATGCAGAGTCGGTTGACTCAAGTCAATAATTTTGGGAATCTAATGTATCAATTCATAAATCAAAATGTATAATAATATTTGCCATTACGTTCAAAGATATTTAAGGAATTAAATCGATAACTATAATGATAAATCGAATATTTTTTTAAAAAATGGACGAAATTTTAGATCTTGAAGATTTTGAAGAGTCCAAAGATGATAATAATTTTGAAAAATATATGAAATAGAAGAGCTAGAATTCAATGAAATATTAAGCACAGTTATTAATACAATATATACCAAACTGAAATTGAAGAAACTAATACTGTAAACTCAGATTGATATACTTCTGAGATTTGGCAATATGTAAATAGAAACATCATTACTGTTTAACATGTAACTTTGTGTTCTCATCAAAAACCAGCACATCAAATATATGAAATCATCTTTATAAACACAGTTTAATAAAATAAAAAAAATCAAATTCAATCATATATTAAACAAGCATAATCTGAATGATTAATACTTCTAATTAAATAGATTATTCAGATAATGCAATATTCTTCTGTAGTAAATATCATTTCATTTCATAATCTTTTAAATAAGCTGGATTCCTTATTCATAATTTCAAAATAATATTTAATATATAATAAAATAATTAAATAATTAACAAAATAAACTAAATTAGTATTATAATTGTAATATTCCAGAAAAGTCTTTATTACTTCAGATTATGAGTTAATATTAAATAATTCAGTTTGCTAATATAAATTAAAATTTATTGTATTTTAATTTTAAAGATTTTATGATTTCAAGAATTTTATATAAATAGTAATTATATATTAAAAGTTTTAGAAGGATTTAATTTAAAATAGAAAATTGCTAGAATTATAATTAATTTAAATATGATTTTAATATCTAATAAAATAAAATAAAGCTTAATTCTAATAATAATTCCATTAAATTTTCTCATTATTATTACATATATCAAATAATTAATCTTGTAATTAATAATAAACTAGAAAAGTTAATTTATTTAATTAAAAAATATATTAGTTAGTAAAAATAATATATCATTCTTATTATATTTAGAAAATTTAAAATAATATTATAATAATTATTATAAGTAATAAGATTAATATATTTTATATATATCTTATTTAATTTAGATAATTTTTAATTTAAATAAATACTAAAAATAAATAATTCTTAAAATATTATTATTAAAGATAAATTTCTTAGCTATTATAATATTATAATAAATAAGTATTATTAGATTATAATTAATTATAATCTTAGTAATTTTGAGTTACAAAATTATAATAAATAGAATATTACTAAATTATAATAGTTATAATATTCATTACTAATCATTATATAATATAATTATTTACAAAAATAAAACTCAGTATAAACTATTGCAAGAAGATTGATATATTAATATAAAAATTAATAATTACTTCTAATAAAAATCATTTAAATTTTAATTGATCTTTATAATTTTTTTATATTAAATAAAAATAATCTAAATTTACTTTTTATACTATTTTAATTATTTTATTATACTTTAATTTAATAATAAATAATGTATTATTTTATTAAAAATACTAAAATAAAATTATTTTTTTTAAAAAAAAATATTTTAAATATTATTACTATCAATTTACAAAATTAAAATTTCAAACTATATAAATAGATTATCTTATATCTAATAAATATATATTCTAAATTTTATAAAAATTAAATTAGTAATTATAAAAATATTAAGGTTCAAAGTTTAGTAATTAAATTATTTAATATATAATTTTATATTAATTTTAATTAAATTTTATATAGTAAAATTTAAGAAACAATAATTAAAAAAAGTTATTATTAGTAAAAATTTTTTTTATAAAAGATATATAATAAAAATTTTTATATTTAAATAAATTCTAATATCTAATAACTTAATTAAATAAAACAGAATTAAAAATTTTATTTTGAAAAAATAATTTATTAATATTTATCTAATATATCAAAACTTTTACAATGAATTATATTAATAAATAATTATTTATTTTATATTAATAATTTCTTATAAATAATCTAATAATTTTTTATAAATTTAAATTAAAATAAATATTAAGATTTATAACTTTAATTAAATTTAAAATATTCAAAATAGATTAATATTAAAATATTACTATTTATAATAATAAATTTTAAATAATAATATAAAAAATTTAATAATAAAAATGAATTTTTATAATTTAATACATATATTTTAAAAAAATTAATTAATTTTAATAATTTTGAATTTAAATAAATATTATAAATCATAATATTTATTTAAGCTCAAAATTATTAAATAAATTAATTATTCTTAAGATATTCTTATTATTTTTAGTATATTTTTAAAATTAACTATAAGTATATATATTATTATTTTAAACTAACTAATATAATTAATACTTATAATTAATTAATCTTTTTATTATATTATTATTTAATAATTATTACTAATTATTAATAATATACTAATTTTTATATATATATTAAAAATTATTTATAATATTATAATGAATTAGTAAGTAAGTTTTCATTTAAATTTATCTTAATAATATTGAATTAAAAAAGACTGAATTAATTAAAAGATAAAGAGAGAAAAATTAAATTATACTTTTAATAATAACAAAGATTTTTAAGTTCTGTATCAATATTTATGGATATTATATTTAATAAAAAGGTAATTAAATAATAAGAGAATAAAATAAATCAAGAAAATTATAAAGATTAACTAATAAAGCCACTAATAATCAATATAATTCAAGACTTAAAATAATTAAATAGTAAATTTACTATTAATTAAAGAAGATTTTAACTAAAAAAAAAAGTAAAAACTAAACTAAATAATAAAATAACTAAATAAAAAGAGTATAGCTTATTTATAATAGAGATCTTTTACTTTTAAAAATAATAAAATAAATAAAATAAAAAAAATATAATTTATTTATAATAGAAATCTTCTACAGTGACCTCCCAGAATATTGTGGACACATTTTAAAATACAATAACATAAAAATCAATAAAAAAACCAGATTTATGATTCTAAGCTAATAGATTTATTAAATCATAAAATACATTCTTATAAAATTTCAAGCGATTTAAATTACTGAGTCAAAAAAAATATAAAAAAATGTAAAATTTTAAATTTTTTGTTAAACTGAATTCTTGTTCAAGCCAATACGTATTATTTTGTCCAAACTAAGATGCGTTTTGCTTGATTCAAGACGCGTTCTATTTTTGTGATACTCATGATACTCATTTATGTATCAGCAGTATCACAAAACGTGTAATATACTAATTCGTCTAATTCGTCTAATTTATTAGTGATACACATCATGAGAAGTAAGAAAGACTTAACTACTGAACAAAAGGGTACTATTGTATATGGTTATCTTAAAAATGATTCATACCGCACTATTGTAGCTAATGTAGGCTGTGGAAAGTCTGTTGTGGGTAATGTTATTCGTAAATTTTGTGAATCAGGAACCGTTAAATCTCAAGCTGTTCATATAGGATGACTGCCACTTCTCGCTACTTCCGATCGATATGTTCTCAAGACTCTCATTACTAGTGAAAATTGTCATTTAAATCTCGCCCAAGTCACCACTACTCTTGCTGCTCAAACAAAACGTAATGTATCAAAAAAGACTATTCGCCATGCACTATATAAAGAAGGTTTATGGTTCCATATTGCACGTCCCAAGCCACTCATTTCCACCATTAATGCTGAGAAATGACTTGTCTGGTGTCTCGCACATAAAGATTGGACAGCTCGATATTTTCATCATATTTTGTGGTTAGATGAATTGATATTTTGTCTCTTTCAACAATCGTCTTGTCAGGTCTGGCATGAATCACATGAAGAATAGGATATTGAATGTGTGAGCAGTACTATCAAACATAGTCCTAGTCGGATGTATTGGGGTTGTTTTTCGTGGTATGGAACTGGTCCTCTCGTTGTGCTTAATGGCTCTGCCACAGGTAAGTCTCATGTTAAAATTCTTCGTAGGTACATTTTGCCAACATTAGAGACATATCCAGGAAATGTGGATCATGGTCAGCCTTGGTTTCAACAAGATAATGCAAGACCACACACTTCCAAAATTACCAAAAATTTCCTTAATGAAAACAAAGTTCAAGTATTAGATTGGCCCGCTCAAAGTCCAGATCTAAACCCAATCAAAAACCTCTGACATGAGGTCAAAAACGCTCTTTGATGAAAACCAAATCCAAGTAATCTCGTTGATCTTAAATATCTTGTTCAAGAAGCCTGGCGTGATATATCATCTGAGTATTGCTATTGATTGGTAGATAGTATGCCGGATCGCGTTAATGCTTGTATTAAAACTGGGGGAGATCCAACAAAGTATTAATTAATATTAAATGTATCTTGAATCAGACAAAATGCATCACAGTTTGGGCGAGATGAGTTTCGGTTTAATAATAAATTTTAAATTTTAGGTTTTTTTATATATTTTTTTAATCAGTGATTTAAATCACTTGAAATTTTAAGATAATGTACATTATGATTTAGTAAATCTATTAGTTTATAATAATAAAGCATATTTTTTTATTGATTTTTATGTTATTATATTTTAAAAAGTGTCCACAATATTCTGGGAGGCCACTGTACTTTCAAAATAATATCAAAAATCAAAAATCAATATAATATTATAATTCAAATCAAAATCAACTTTGTATAGTCAAAGAAATAAAACTAAGTAAGAGAAAAGATACTAATATAATTAGAAAAGAAATCTTTTAAAAAGATTATTATTATTATGATAATAAGCTTTTAATTACATTTTCTAAATAATTCAATTCAAAACTATTTATTTTAAGCTGGAATATAAATTCTTTTATATATTTTTCAAATACATAAATTATTATAATATTACTAGTTAATAATATCTAAATATATATATTATTATTATAATGAACTATAATTTAAAATACTAATAGTTTAAATATTAATATTAAAAATATAAATATTTAAAAATATTAAAAAATATTTGAAATATTCAATATCTGTAAATATTTATAATCTTCAAAATATTGAGTTTATAGATATATATAGATATTTGTAATCTTCAAAATATCAATATTTATAATTATTATTTTAAATATTATTATTCTATCAATAATTAAAAATGATCTTTCAATATATTATTTTACTATATATATAAAAATTATATTATATATA